GGTTGAAGAGAGCTGAGCGATGAAAGAACTTTTTTTCTGGACAATGTCTGATAAACTACGCCGAACATCACCCAGAAACAAACCTGATAAGAGAACACATGGTGGGTGAGATGAAAAAGCAGGAAGTGAAGTGAAGGGAAGAGAAGTGAAGGGGAGTGGAGTGAAGGGAAGGGAAGGGAAGTGAAGTGAGGTGAAGGGAAGTGAAGTGAAGGGAAGGGAAGGGAAGGGAAGGGAAGGGATGTGAAGTGAAGAAAAAATAAATAGATAAAAAATAAAGTAAACTAAAGTAAAACAAAAAGAATAAAATTCCAGCCAGGAAATCTATTAGAAAAACGAAAGACATAGGGACTGAAAAGCCATGCATCTTACCAACGAATAACACAGAGGACTCTTCTGCAAATCCCGCTAGATGGTCATACACTAAAATAAGGGAAATAAGACAAAAGATATTAAATAAGAAATTATTTAGTCAYGCTTGCAGCAACAGTATGAGCAACATTTGCAGACTCTTTTCTTTCTTCCGGCCTGTTAGAGAGGAGTTGCTAAGATTCTGCATATGATTCAGAGTGGAATAGTTCATTTTCTTATTCACATCTGATACCACTGTGTTCTATGACTACAGACTCATTTGTATAATTTTAGCTTCGTTAATATGTGAGCTATTTACAGATACTATTAATTCAACTTGCACATTCTTTACATTACGGTTGACTTTTGCAAATGATTTGCTTTTGAATGAAGCTAAAAAGCTAAAAATATACACGAGTCTGTAGACATAAAACACAGAGGTGTTTACTGAACGAGAAAAGGGACTATTACTTCTGTTTCTCAACCAACATATTAAAGTTTTATTAAAGAAAACTGGAAATCTATCTTTAGATAGAAGAAAAAAAAAACAAGCCACGATCCTTGGAGACCAAGTCCCCGGTGTATTTACCAAGCCATCGCTTCCCCCAAATTCCTCGCATCTTTTTATGAGGTTCATGTCTATTTTTTGGGAC